TTCTATGAGATTAAGGAAATTTCCCTCTTAATCTGCTAAGAGGTTTTGTAATGAATGGGTGTTGCATTTCATCAAATGCTTTAATGCATCTATTGAATGATGTGATTTTTCCCCCCTTTTTCTGTTAATGCCACTAATTACATTAACTGATTTTTCAAATGTTAATCACCATTGTGTCCCTGGAAAAAAAACTGCATTTGGTAGTTGTATATTATTCTTTTTTATGTATTTTTGGATTAATTTACTAATATTGGGGTATGGTTTTTACATCTATGGTCATGAGGTATAATTTTCCTTTCTTATATAGTCCCTGTTGGGTTTTGTTATAAAAATTATGCTGCTTTCATAAGATGAGTTGGAAAAGGCTCCTTTTTTGGAAAGAGTTTGTTTATGATTGCTATAACTTCTTCCTTAAATGTTTGATAAAGTTTTTCTAGGGAAACCATCTTGGCTTGGAATTTTCTTTTTGGGATGGTTTCTAATAATGGATTAAATTTCTTTATAGATAGAAGACTAGGTTTTTTATTTCTTCTTTTATGAATTTTGGTAAATTGTGATTTTTTCCCCCCAAGGTATTTGTTCATTTCATCCTAACCTGTCAAATTTATTATTTATAGTATTCTGTATTATTTTTCTAGTTCTCATTCCTGATCTGGTAATTTGTAGGGGGTTTTCTCTTTTATTTTACTTATTATTCCCTTTTTTATACTTTTTCTAAGTTTGATTGGCCACTCTTTCTATCTTCTTGAGATGGAGCTTAGAACATTGTTTTTTTTTCATGCTTTCTAATTTTCTGATATATGCATATCAGGTTATAAATTTCCTCTGAGTACAGTTTTTGCTGACATTTTATTGTATTTACTGTTTTTCTATATATATACATTAGATTTCTCTTATAAATATAACATATATGTAATTATATGTACAATTTAAATTTCAATTATGATTTTTCATTTGTTGATTATGGGTTATTTAGAAGTTTGTTGTCTAATTTCCAAACAGTTGGTTATTTTCTACGGTTCTTTTTGTAATTGATATTTACCTTAATTCCATTTTAGTCATAGAACGTTCTCTGAATGATTTTAGTACTTTGAAGTTTGTTGTTTGCTTTAGGACCTGGAATACAGGCAGTTTTGGTAAAGATTCCATGTGTATGTTACATAGGTTCCAGTCATTGTTGGGTGCCATGATTATAAATATGTCATTTAGGTCAAATTTGTAATTGTCTTGTTTAGATTTTGTATATTTTGATAGAATTTTTGTCTCTGTCACTTATCAAGAGTAGTGTATCAGTCTTTCACTCTGATTGTGGATTTGTGTATTTCCCCTTTTAGTCCTGTTTTTGATTAAAATAATTTGAAGCTATGTTAAGTGGTGCATATATGTTTAGATTTGCTTTTTAGTCTTGGTGAATTGATTCTTTGATTTTGTCTGTATGAAATGACCTTCGTTATCTCTGGGAACACTCCTTGTCATAAAGTCTGCTCTTTCTTTTGGTTAGTTCTTGCATTGTTTATCGTTTGCCTTTTTACTTTTTACCTCTCTGTGTCCTTATATTGAAAATGTGTCTTTGTAAACAGCATAGTGTTTTTCTCTCTTTTTGTTTTTACCTAGTCCAACAATCTTATTAGTCTTTTACTTAGAGTTTTTAGTCCACTTATTTCTAATGCAATTATTGATGTACTTGGGTTAATATCTACCATCTTACTATTTGATTTCAATTTGTCGAAACTGTTTTGCATTCTTTTTCTTCTCTTATCTTGCCTTCTTTTGTATTTTCTCTCTTTATTACCTTGTTGGTTGTGCATTCTTTTATTGTTTAGCCTAGAAATTATGATATATACCTTTGACTTATAATATTCTAATAAAAATAATTACTTTAGCCACTCCCCCATTAGTGGTCCTCTGACCCCCCATCTTTCCCTTTTATTATTACAGATATTAATTTCTGTGTATTTTGTATGTATTTTAAGACATTATTTTTTTTTGGTACAGAATGTATTCATTTGTATTTTCTCACATATTCACCCCTTTTGTTGCTCTTAATTTCTTTTGAATTTTCATCCTAGATCATTTTTCCAAAGAACTCTTGAGCATTCCTTTTAGTGCAGGTTTGTGGTGACTAATGTTCTCCAGTTTTTGTCTGTCTGAAAATGTCTTTACTTTGCCTTCATTTATAAAGAATATTTTTGCTAGCTGTAGAATTATAGGTGGACAGTTATTTTCTTGCAGCTCTTTAAATAAGTTATTCAGTTGTTTTCTGATATTCCAAAGTCAGCTCTGAATGTTATTGTTGCTCTGTTGAAGGTAAGATATCTTTTTTTCCACTGGCTGCTTTTTGATATTTTTCTTTGGTTTTCAACAAAAAGTAAATAAAATGTGCCTAGATGTGGTTTTCTTGTATTTATCCTTCTTAGGGTTTGCAGAACTTTTTGAATCTGTGAAATGTTTTCTTGAATCAGTTTTGGAAAATCCTCAACCATCAACTTTTTATATAATGCCTCTGCCCGTTCTCTCTCTCCTCTCCTTTTGAGATTCCAATTATGCATATCTTTGACTTTTTCATCTGTTTTACATGTCTCTCATACTCTTTTCTGTATTTTTCAGTATCTTTGGTCTATGTGCTTCTGTTTGGATATTTGCTATTGCCTTGTTTTCTATTTTGCCAGTTCTATCTTCTAATATGTCTAATGAGTTCTTAATTTCAGTGATTATATATTTCAATTATAGAATTTCCATTTGATTCCTTTTATAATAGATTCCAGTTTTCTGTTAAAATTCTTCACCTTTTATTTTCTTGAACATATTTATCGTAGTTATATACAGTCTTCTCTGTTAAGTCCAATAGCTGGATTACCAAAACATTGTACGTTTTTTTCTTGGTTTTTCAGTCTTATGGTCCTGTCTCTTGGAATGCCCAGTAATTTTTTATTGAGTACTTATACATTACAAAATATTGTGAGATTTCAGATGATGTTACATTACTCCAGAGAAGGTTCACCCTTTCTTCTGCTTAGCAGATAAATGGGAGCAGATCACCTTAACTCAGTCAGGGACTAAGCTGAGTTGAGGCTGTGTTGCGGTTTTGGTAGGTCTCTGCCTCCCTCTGATTTGCCCCTGCTACTAGGGTGTAGACATTCAGGGGCTTCCAGTTGAGCGTTTGGTATGTTCAGTTCCCCTGGCAGGACTTGAACTTGAATTCATGTTTCCTCAGCCTGATAAAATTGCCAGAATCTCCATTCTGCTTTTCAGAGGCTTTCTGCTTAGCTGCTTAGCCTCCTTCTCTGTGCAGCTTCAGAATTTTCAAATATCTTGAAGGGAAAACTGGCTATGTGTTAGGCTCAGTCCTTGGCACTTCCCCTTCTCACCTCTATCTCCAAATTTTGTCTGTAGCCTCACAAGCCCACCAAAGCTCTGATGACTTCTCAGTTCTCTAGCACCAGCCTAGGCAAAGCTTGATTCTCAGCCTCTTGCCTTATGCCTAGATTCAACAGATGCCTCCTTGGAAAAGTGACTGCACTTATCACTCCACCTCTCCCTGCTTTGCTGCTCTCTGGGTTCTTGGTCCCTCTAGTTCTTTGCCTTTAATACTTCTCCAGTAGCTTTAAATAGATATTTTTAAACTTTTTTGCTGTATTTTAAAGTTGTTCTTGATAGAAACATTGGTTTAACACAAACTACTCTTTCATATTTGGAAGTGATAGTTACATATAGTTTATCATCACATATAGTTTATTGTTACATATATTGTTGTATATCGGTTATCACATCCATTATACAGTTAACTTCTTTGACATCAGTTTCTTTAAGTGACTCTTGGTTTTCTGACTGCATCATGTATAGGAGGCCTCTGGAAAATATTATATATCAATGTAGGAATAAATCGATTCTTACTTAATAGAAAGACCTGGTGGTGAGAATATCTATTATCAGTTCAAAATCAGCAATGACTCTGAAACTATTATATAAACAAGTGGAAGAAATATTTGATAGTTAAAAGCCCAGATGCACATTTCTTGGGATATTTGATCTATTCCTGTGGTTATAATAATGAGTTTAGTATGTATGTTTGGAGCCACTATTTTTTGTTTCCTTAATATCAGCTTACGGTGTTAGCTCTGTTTACATCATGTGATTTTAAAGTTGGAAGAACTCTTTTAAAATTTATTTTTAGGGCCTGCCCGGTGGCGCAAGCAGTTAAGTGCGCGCGCGCTCCGCTGCGGCGGCCCGGGGTTCGCCGGCTTGGATCCCAGGTGCGCACTGACGCACTGCTTGGCAAGCCATGCTGTGGAGGCGTCCCATATAAGGTGCAGGAAGATGGGCATGGATGTTAGCCCAGGGCTAGTCTTCCTCAGCAGAAAAAGAGGAGGATTAGCAGATGTTAGCACAGGGCTGGTCTCCTCACAAAAAAAAATAAAATAAAATTTATTTTTAATGTAAGAAGAACAAGAAAATGTGAGAGAGAGAGAGATCTCTTCCTTACCTCCCACTCTCAAAATAACTATTATATAATTTCTCTCCTCCCTCCCGTTTTCCTTTCAGTTGTCTTTTCTCTCCTGTTGGCATGTCTGAAGAAAATGTAGAAATTGAAACACATAAAAAGAAGAATATTAAAATCTCTTGTAATCCTATCTATCACCAAGCAGTAATCACTCTTTTGAGCATTTGGCATATATCTGTTGTGTTTTTTCCTATGTAAAATGGATCATATTTTATTAGTTGTTCTCAGCCCTGCCTCTTCATTAATATCACCTGTGACAATTAAAATATACATATAGATTCTGGGATATACCTCAGACTTAACCAAATCAGAATCTCCAGAGATAAGGCCAAGAGAGTTTTGTTTAAGAACAAAAACAACAACTCCCCTTCAGAAATTTTTAAAAACCTTCAGGAATGTTTTATAAGTGGAAAAAAAAGAATATTGCAATATTATATATAGAAAGCTTTAACTTGTATACAACTCTTTCTCTAATGATTCAATTTTAACTTTTTCCTAGCCATTCCACCCTATGGTGAATCTGGATTGTTCTCGGGATTTCCGGCCATTTCTTTGTGCACTCTATGCTCCTATTTGTATGGAATATGGACGTGTCACACTTCCTTGTCGTAGGCTGTGTCAGCGGGCTTACAGCGAGTGTTCGAAGCTCATGGAGATGTTTGGTGTTCCTTGGCCTGAAGATATGGAATGCAGTAGGTGGGAAAATCCTAGATTTTCACGGATCATTGCTTATGTTGCAGTATATTTAAAATTACTTGTCTTCTAGTTGATTAGTTTTTAAAAGCTTTTTTGAAGTATATATATTAGTCTTAATTTTGAACAGCAGTTTCACAGCCTCAGAATTATTCATTTCCTTAGGAATTTGGAAGCCCTAAATGAAAAAGGTAGAAAAAGAAAAGCATTTCTATGAAGAAGTTTTTAAAAGCATTAAATTAAGAAAAACATAATCAAGACATTCAGTTGATTTTTCTCTCTTAAAAATTTCTTTTCTGGTTATAAAAGTAATGCCATTTATGAAAAATTAGAAAATAATCATTCATTGCTTCATCATTAAATATCTTTAATGATATTTTAATGGGAATTAAATATCTTTATGATTTAAATGTGTTAATGACTAAAGTAGTTCTGTCAGTTCTCTTTTCCTGTCATGTATTAACATACCAGACCCTGAAAATGTCAGATGCTTTTCAAATGTATAGATTTTAAGCATTTCCTCAAGGTTTGAGGATTTTTACTAGACAGTCTTATAAATTTGTATGAGAGAACATTATTAGTAGTAATAATGTATATAGTATTAATACTGTATTTCTTCTATAAAAATGTGCCTTTTTTGTATTAAGGATAGAGAATAATTAGATGAATACATATGTACCTATTATTATCTAGCTTTGTCCAGTCTTAACATTTTGCAATATTTGCCTCAGATTTTTTTTTTTAAGAGATAAAACAATACAGATAGAGTTAAGGTTCTTTCCTTGGTACTCATCTTGATTTCATTCCATTCTTTCCTCCCCAGAGATGAGGTAATCATTATGTTGAGTTTGTTGTTAATCATTCCTATGTTTGTTTTTATAGTCTTACTACATATATACATACCCCATAAACAACATTAAATTTTTTTTACACGTATCTATGTTTCTATATGTAGGTCTGGTTCATTCCTTTTAATTGCTATATAATGGCCAGTTATATTAATATCCTGTAATTATTTAGCTATCCCCTATTGATGGTCATTACATTATTTCCAGGTTTTTGCTCTTATAAGCAATGCTGCACTGAACATTCTTTTCTCCTTCACGTTTAAAAGTAATTTTGTTTATCATCTGACAATAGCCCTTGGAGGTAGGTAAAAAGCAGGTGTTGTTACTCTCATTTGACAGATGGATAAACTTAAGAAATACAGCATATATTAGTTTCTTGTGGTCAATTCACTGACATTTTACTTTCTTATATTTGTCTGCTCTTTTTCCCACCTGTTTAACCTATTCTCTTATCTCTCCCCATCTAATCATTCATCCATTCTCTCCCCAAACACTTGATAGTGTTTATAGTCTCTCTTTTAGAAGTCTGGAAATTTCTTGGTGTTTACAACAGTTATGAATTGCCTGCGCAGGAACCTTATTTTTTGCTTCTTGTGTCTAACTCCCATTGTTTAGTGGTCTTTTTATTTTAATAGTTTATATACAAGTATAGAAATCTCATTATGATCTTTATTTATTTATTTATTTTGATAGGATTAAGTCTGTTTTATGTCCTCACTCTTGCCTGTGATTGCCTAACTCTGAAATCTTAAATTCTGCCAAACTGATCTTTCATAACAACCTTTTATTCTTCCACATCTCTCATATCTTTGTTCCTACTGTACCTGTTCTTCAACTTCATGGACGCCTCAGACTTGGGGTTCCCCCCCCACAATAGGCCCTTCCTAATTTCCTTTATTTCCTTACTTAGCTTAAGCTCTATGGTTTATCACTTGACATAACACCTTTGCTAGCAATTTCAACTCGTTCCTTCTACTGTACTTGTTCAGATCTCCAAGCGGATTGATTTAGCTAATTTCTTACAAATTAATTATGCTGTATATTTAATGATTCAAACCATAGCAGTTCTATTTGCTGTTTGTCTTTGGTCAGTTTCTAATTTGGTCAACAGGAAAATTTCCTTTCATTCCCCTCGGCACCTATACCAGATCTATATCACTCACTTCAAACCCATATTTCACCTTTATACTACATTTGACCCCTATTCCCCTCAACCTTAGCCTGTCCTCCTTTCCTGAAAATCAGTTAGGCCATATTGTGGTCTGCTACATCTCAGACCAATGCTTCACGGTTTCTTTTCTTGGATCTTCTTCCTTTTTCTGCTCCTTGAATACTGGTGCTTCCCAGAGTTCTGTTCCTGTTCTCTTTGACTCTACATGCTTTCCCTGGATAATCTCATCATACTGATTTTAACTCTTATTCATATACTGATGACTCCTAAATCTAATTCTGTAGCCTTGACATCTTCCTGCTAAATTCCAAATTTGCATAGCCAGCAGCCATTGGAAACCCTAGCCTGAATTTGTCTCAGATACTTTGGTTTCAGTGTATCTCAAATTGATTTTATTCCTTGCTCATTTTTTTTATTACCTGGAAGTTATCTTCCTGCTTCATTGACTTTAGCTCCCACATCCAATCAGTTGTAAATCCTTTTGCTTTTATCTAACTAATTTCATATCTGTCTCATTCTCACTGCCTTATCTGGTTTTAGTTCTGGCTCAGCTGATATCTCTGCTCCCATTTTTGCCTAGCTCAGATCTGTCTTCTGTACTGCCCATAGTCATCTTTCTAACGACTTGGGTTAGGGCTGTATATTTACTCAATAATCATTAATTCAACAAATATTAATTGGATGTCTTCTGTATGCTAGGCACTATTCTAGATGCTGAATATGAGCAATGAACAAAATGTAGTCTCTGTTTTTATGGAGCTAAAGTTCTAGTGGTATTGGTGCGAGATAAATAAATAGATAATGTCAGATAGTAATGAATGCTAATAAGAAAGAGTAGGGTTAGGTGATAGTGATATAGTACAGGGAAGCAGAAAAACTATTTTCTATGGAGACATTGGGGAAGGATGTCTTTGATAAAGAGGCATTGGAACAGGGACCTAAGTGAAGTGAAAGAACAAATAATGCAGATATCTAGGGAATAACAATCCAGGCAGAGGAAACAGAGCAGCAAGTGCAGAGGCTGTGAAGTGGAATCATGCTTGGTATATTCAAAGAGCAACAGGAGACCAAAGAGGCTGGAGCAAGTGAGTGAGGGTGAATGGAAGGAAATAAGTTCAGAAAAGTACTGGGAATGGGGTCTTTGTAGCTCTGGAATGGCGTTTGGATTTGACGCTGAGTGAGAAGGGAAACCATTAAAGAACTTTGAGCAGAAGAGACATGAACACGAGCACACGAGTGGCATGTCTTTAAAGGATCACTCTGGCTGCTGTGTGAAAATGGAGATCACTTGGAAGTCACTCCAAAAGTCTAGGGAAGAGGTACTCATGGCTCAAACTGGGCGACAGCAGTGGAGGAAATGAGAAGTGGGCAGGTTCTGGATATATCACAAAGTAGAATGACAGTATTTGCTGGTAGATTGTGAGGTCTGTGTTAGAGAGAAAGGACATCACGGATGACCCCAAGGTTTTTGGCCTGAGCCACTAGAAGAATGGAATTACCACTTGTAGAGAGAAAGCTAAGGAGTGGAAATCAAGAGTTTGGTTTTGGAAGGGTTAAAGAGTGAAGGATGTATATATTTTGAATTGCCAGTTGGATATACAAATATATCCATAAAAATATATATTACTTTGCATGGTTTTAAATTTTATATCAATGGTTATATATACGTACATACGTACACACAATATGTACACATACTTCTGCAACGTACTTACCTCTCCAGCCTCATCTCCTGTCACAAGTCATGCACACTTCATGCCTCAGCAATACTAAACAAACCCTGTTCAAACATCTATGCCTTTGCTTGTATTTCTTAGTAGAATACTGATTGGCATACTGCTATTACTGGCAAATACTGATTCAAATCCTGTGTTGAGGGACTTACTCTGTGAAGTCTTTCATAACCTCTTCCCCTGAAATAATTAATCCTTCTCTATATCATTTTTATACTATATATAGATATTGATTGCTTCATGGATCACACTGCTGTATTTTGTGTTGTGTTTACAAGTTTGTATCTCATTTTAGACTCAAGGATAGAGATCCTGGTTTGTCTTTTTATTTTAAACCCCTGGCATACTGCAGGATTCCAGTAAATGCCTGAATACAGTAAATTTCTGTCATTTGGCTTTATAATTCCAAGCCCTGTGAAGAAAATGGTTTGTATCAGAAAATAAAAGATTAATGAGCTACAGCATAAAAGTTATGCATGTATTTAGCAAACTTAATATCAATGATAGTTTCTTGGAAACGTGTGATGCCCATAAACTAGTAAATATCTAGTTAGTGGGAGTCTGAAGGCTTAGAAACTAAGACTGGCAAGAAAATTGAAGACGCAGGAAATTTGTGAGAATGGTATCCTTAGTCATGTAAGTATATCTGCAACACAACCCTGTTTTCTTTGTCCTGAGGCTATGTATGATGCTTTCTGAAGTCTGTGGATCGTGTCCTTCTGGAAGATTGTTAAAATGCAGATTTCTTGGGCAGTAACACAGGCATACTGAAATAAGATTTGTGGTGGTGGGGAGCAAGAATTTGCATTTTAAAATGACTTTAAGTTTTTCTCATGCACAGCAGAGTTTGAGAAAAACTGAATTAGAGAATGCAATGTATTGGAGAGAAATTAAGGATAGTAGGAAAGCACTGGTTGACTTTAGAGACCTTAGAAGGCCCTTGATCAATATGATAAGCAGAGAGTGAATGTAAAATGGGAAGAAAAGATCTAAAAACTAAGCCACTTTTAAGGATTTTTAATGCTAGTCTAACTCAAAACACCTTGGGCCATGCATTTAGGGAAGATTTTTAACTCTTATGTTTGAGTAAGTTCTGAGTCTAGATAAATTGAGGACTGTACTGTAGTTAAAGGTTAGCAAAAAGTAACTTTTAGCTACTATTCTTTTGGAGTTATATACTTATTTATTTTATTTATTATATATATCTGTATTTTGAAATCTTACTGTAAACTTTGTGTCCTAAATAGTTTATTTATACACTGTTATTTATTGAAGGCTATGCTTGACTGTTTAATAAAGAGTACTGTTTTTGAAGCCAAAACAAAATTAAGTATAAAACCATATCATTTTTTTTGTCAGCTATGGAAAATCTAATTGTATGGCCCACACAGAAGATATTACCATTTACTTTATTCCTATTTATTGTAATATGCTCCAAGGACATAAGAATAAATAAGATCACAGGTGCTAAATTTGGAAATCCAAATTGTTAGATGGCAGTAGATTTCCCTATAAGTAAAGATGGTTCTCATCTTGTATTTTATAGGTTCCCAGATTGTGATGAGCCGTATCCTCGACTTGTGGATCTGAATTTAGCTGGAGATCCTACTGAAGGAGCCCCGGTGGCAGTGCAGAGGGACTATGGTTTTTGGTGTCCCCGAGAGTTGAAAATTGATCCTGATCTTGGTTATTCTTTTTTGCACGTGCGTGATTGTTCACCTCCTTGTCCAAATATGTACTTTAGGAGAGAAGAACTTTCATTTGCTCGATATTTCATAGGATTGATTTCAATCATTTGCCTCTCTGCCACGTTGTTTACTTTTTTAACTTTTTTGATTGATGTCACAAGATTCCGTTATCCTGAAAGACCTATTATATTTTATGCAGTCTGCTACATGATGGTATCATTAATTTTCTTCATTGGTTTTTTGCTTGAGGACCGAGTAGCCTGCAATGCATCTAGCCCTGCACAGTATAAGGCTTCCACAGTGACACAAGGATCTCATAATAAAGCCTGTACCATGCTTTTTATGGTACTCTATTTTTTTACTATGGCTGGCAGCGTTTGGTGGGTAATTCTTACCATCACATGGTTCTTGGCAGCTGTGCCCAAGTGGGGTAGTGAAGCTATTGAAAAGAAAGCATTGCTGTTTCACGCCAGTGCATGGGGCATCCCTGGAACTCTAACTATCATCCTTTTAGCAATGAATAAAATTGAAGGTGACAATATCAGTGGCGTGTGTTTTGTTGGCCTCTACGATGTTGATGCATTGAGATACTTTGTTCTTGCACCCCTCTGCCTATATGTGGTAGTTGGGGTTTCACTTCTCTTAGCTGGCATTATATCCCTGAACAGAGTTCGAATTGAGATTCCATTAGAAAAGGAGAACCAAGATAAATTGGTGAAGTTTATGATCCGGATTGGCGTTTTCAGCATTCTTTATCTCGTACCCCTCTTGGTTGTAATTGGATGCTACTTTTATGAGCAAGCTTACCGTGGCATCTGGGAAACAACATGGATACAAGAACGCTGCAGAGAATATCACATTCCGTGTCCATATCAGGTAAGGGAAACCTTGTTCTAAATTTCAGCATGTGTAATAGTGAAAAGAAGGTGTATTACTATAAAGAGCTGATCTCAGCTGGGTTTTTTTAAAACTCTTTGTGAACCTCCAACTTGTACATTAAAATTTTAAAGTGAGAATAATGAACAAATATATTTTTTTATATATATATAAATAATATATATAAAACATATTTTTTTTGTAATAAAATGTCATACACGTTTCTATAAACATCTTCCTTTTAAAAGATGACTTTTACAAGTCTAAGCTATGGGCTTTTGAGCAATTTACTTCTGTTATCACAAAACAGTTGCTTGTTGATTCTTTAGAAGTCTGCAGGTTTGAGGGGAAGAAGTACTTGACCAACTCTGCTAAAAAGGCACTCTTTTTGTGGAAATTTTACTGATGTTCAGAATAGGAATTAATTGTTTTTTAACAATTTTGCGAAAATAATAGAATGCAGTTGTACAAACTAGTCCATCTCTTAATTGGTCTTGGTTTTTCTTTTTTGCATACTGAATATTTGGTGATCTACCTTTGAGTTTAAAGAGATCAGATAATCATAATCATAGTCATAGAATCATAGAATTTTAGATCTAGAAAGAACTTTAGAGATCCTTTATTCAGGTTCCCTCTGTAATTTAGAGTTCTTAAACATCTATCTCGAATGTTAAGTGGCTTACTCACACTCAGCTGGGATATAGTCCTAAGAGAGGAGTGGAACAAGTAAAGTAGTTCAGAGGAGTTCATGCTAAGTATTTCTCTCTCATCTTAAAACCTTCTCTAGAAGCTATGCCCCTAGCTATTACCCTCTCTTCTTCCTTTTAAGACAAGTTTTCTTGAAAGAGTTGTCTCCATTTCCTGTCTCCTGTTCATCATGTTCCAGGTTTCCTGTTCTCAAAGTGCACCAGCCACCCTTTCATCTCCCCCAACCCTTACGTTTTGCTAATATCTTTTAAATGCCTTTATTAAAGTCCTTATGTGTTATCGATAACTGGTTTACTTGGTCTCTTTCCCCTACTAGACAGTGAACTCTTTGAAAGCAGAACTTTTTTTCATATTTTTTGAATGCATATTCTATAGGTTGGTAGATGATAACATTGGGAATGTGGCTGTATAGATAGAGAAGAAGAGATATTTTTAAGAAATGATAATGGTACTAGGGACAAGGAATATGTGATTAGCACATAGTCAGTGCTCATAAATATTTGATGACTGGGAATGCCGATTCCCCTGCTTTTGTTTTGTGGTATAAATAGCCCTATACATAATTATATTTTAATTATTATATAAATGTTAGCTACTGGCTTTTAAAAAATAAATCAGCTCATAATTAAAATACCAGAAAAATGAATAATTGAAATTGTATTAAATTTCTTGACAGAATTACTTATTAAAAACTTTTAATATGTGTTTTCAGATCTGAAGCTAAGTGCTAATCACATTTTCCCTCTAATGAGGAAGAGAATGAATTACATCATATGCTTCCCCATATAAGTTATCTAGGATTCCAAATATATGTTATCTTAGGGCTATTGAAGAAATAGTGTTTGACTATGAAATAATGATCTAAAAAATACAAAACCTCAATCATGTAAATTAGTAAATTAGAGTAGTTGGTATGCTGCTATTTTTAAGACATTCCTAGAATTCTGTTAGCATCTTGAGAGTCAGAGCTACACAGAAATATATGTGTGTGTGTATGCATTTCTTTATAGTCATAGGCTAAAAGTGTTTTTTATTTCCAGCATACAGAAGTAATGTTGGATTTCCAACATACCGAACAGGATAGAGAAGGATATAATAACAATAACATAGCTACTAAACTGTAAACTCTGGAGCAGGAATCCTGGCTTCATATCTTACTTTCATTATTTACTAGCTTTATAACCTTAAACCAACTTCACCTCTCTCTGCTTAAGTTCTTCATCTGTAAAATGAGTAATAGAATCTAACAGCACTAAAATAGTAATAGCATTAGATATAAATAGCGATAGAATCTACCTTCTAGGTTTGCTTTTAGGGGTATACATGCAAAACACTTAGAAGAGTGCCTGCTATGTAATAAGTGCTGAAATCTTAGCTCTATTATTTGTTTTCTTCATGATCGTTTCTGCTGCTGTTAATTGTTCTTTACACATACACATATATATACACACACATAAATACATATATACATATAAATATATATATATTTTTTAAACCATCCAACACCAAGCTTTAGCAAATGCCATGTTTGTTTCAGATTTTTAAAAGAAATCATATTACAGATTTGGCTGAAGCTCCCTGTGTATCCTTCCCCAGTCCTGTTTCTCTTATTCCCTACCCAGGAGGTAACCATCATCCTGAATTTGGAGTATATCATTCCCATGAAAGTCTAGACAATTACTACTATGTATGTAGTTATGAAAAAATTTTTACAAGTAAGTAAATGATACACTATATGTCTGTTTCTGTAACTTGATTTTCTTAACTTAATATTTAGTTTTTGAGGTGTGTTTATGTTAATATTGTAGCTCTAGATCATTTTTTTAAATGTGTTTCCTTTAAAGGAAGTTTACATTATAAAATATTTTAAATATGTAGAAGTATAGAAAATAATGTAACAAACATCCATGTACTCACAACCCGACTATCTTGAAATCTTAATATTATGTCATGTCTGGCCAGCTGGCTGGCTGGCTGTCTATCATTAAGGACACAGTTGATGCCCCCCCTCTGTTCCCTTCTGTATTCCCATTTCCTTTCCTTCTCCTTCCGCAGAGGTAACCCTTCTCATAAATATGATATTTATCATTCTTCTCAATCTTTTATACTGTGGCTGAATATTTATGTAGCTATAAAACTTGCTGTTTTGCAAGTTTTAAAAATCTATATAAGTGAGATCATTCTGTAGCTTGCTTTTTTCACTCAATTTTATGTTTTTGAGTGTATACTTGTTGATATGTGTACCACTAATTATTCATTTTAACTTCAGTAGTCTAATGTATAAATAGACTGCAATTTATTCACTCATTATTCTGTTGGACTTATAGTTGTTTCCAGGTTTTTTTTTGCTATTGTAAACCATTTTGCAATGAACATTCTTGTAATACCTGTCTTACTTGCACATGCCAGGAATTTCCATGGGTATATATCAAAAAGAGAAATTATTGCATTATAAGATATAGACATCTTCAACTCAAGTGGTTATTTTAAATTACACTTGCAGCAGAGTATGAGTTTCCCATTTGTTCCCATCTTGGGGTTCTCCTGCTTTTAGGTTTTTGCCAATCTTTGAAACACTATCTATTCTATAATTACTATAGTAATAGAATAATAAAAATTACTTTTATTTCCCCTAGTATTCATAAGGTTGAACATGTTTCATATGTTTGTTGGCCATTTGGGGTTTCTCTTCTGTGATTTGACTTTGTTCCTTTGTCCTTTGCTCTGTTAGGTTATTTGCCTTTTGTTATTATTGTTGTTGAAATATTCTTGGTATCAATTCTTTGTCAATTATTTGCATTGCAGATATATTATCCTGTTCTGTCATTTGTCTTCTCACTTTGTGTTTTCTTTGCCTTTTGTGTTTTAAGAAATCCTTCCCTGCCTCTAAAGTCATAAAAATGGTCTGCCATATTTTTTCTAGCAGTTTTTTTTTTTTAATTTTTATTTATTTATTTTTCCCCCCAAAGCCCCAGTAGATAGTTGTATGTCATAGTTGCACAGCCTTCTAGTTGCTGTATGTGGGACGCGGCCTCAGCATGGCCGGAGAAGCAGTGCGTCGGTGTGCGCCCGGGATCCGAACCCGGGCCACCAGCAGCAGAGCACGCGCACTTAACTGCCAAGCCACGGGGCTGGCCCTCTAGCAGTTTTTAAATTTTGATTTTTTGATTCCAATCTCTAATCCCTTGAAATTTATTTTTGTCTATGTTATGAGTAACATGATTTTGTTTTTCCATATGAATAAGCAGTATGCTTTCTGCACCATTTATCAAATAGCCTATCTGAATTGTAATGCATCCTCTATCATAAACAAGTTCCATTTTTAGGCTCTCTCTTTTGTTCCATTGGTCTGTTTGTATAATCATGTGTCCATTCCACATTGCCCCTAGCTTGTTCTTCTTCAAAATTATTTTAACCATTCTTCACACTTTTCTGTATGAATTTTAGAATCAGTTTCTCCATGAAAAACACCGTTGGGATTTTGATTGAATTTGTTTTTTATTTTAAATGAATCTCGGGAAAATTGCCATCTTTGTAATACTGAGTTTTAATATTTTTGTTTGTTTATGTATTTATTCATTCGTTGTTAGGTACCTTATAGTTTTTGTTGCAATTGTGAAGGGGATCTTTTCTCTATTACATTTTTATTTTTTTTATTTTTATTTATTTTTTTTGTGTGAGGAAGATCAGCCCTGACCTAACATCCATGCTAATCCTCCTCTTTTTGCTGAGGAAGACCGGCTCTAAGCAAACATCTATTGCCAGTCCTCCTCCTTTTTTCCCCCAAAGCCCCAGTAGGTAGTTGTATGTCATAGTTGCACATCCTTCTAGTTGCTGTATGTGGGACGCGGCCTCAGCATGGCCGGAGAAGCGGTACCTCGGTGCGCGCCCAGGATCTGAACCCGGGCCGCCAGTAGCGGAGCGTGTGCACTTAACCGCTAAGCCATGGGGCCGGCCCTCTATTACATTTTTAAATTGGTTGTTGCTGGTGTACAAGAATGCCATTGATTGATTTTTGTATGTTGGTCTTATGTTGAGCACCCTTGCTGAACTTTTATTAGTTCTAATTGTGTATAGATTCTCTTAGTTATTCTTTGTAGTAGTCCTGTTGTCTGCAAATAAGGACAAATGTTTCCCTTGCTTGCTTCCCAATTCTTATGTTTTAAGATTTTTGCATTAATACTTATGAGTGAGACAGATTGTGATAATTTTTTTTTCTTGTACTATCCTTGTGCTGTTTGGGTTATAATAACTTTATAAAGTGAGATTTTTTTCCTATTGTCTGAAACAGT